TGAGGAGGGTTGATGCTTTGTCACTCAGACCACACTCTTCACATGCAGCTCGTAGGTCATGTCTAATGTTCACTTCTGAATTTGTCTCCGCCAGGCCACGCATCTGTAACAAATAATTGTGCATTTCCCAGCCATGGTGAAAGAAGTGGCGTGTTACCCTGATGAAGGATTCTGTAGTGCAGGAAGCTCAACCGTACAGCTACATGCTGTGCCTCCTTCAACTCTTGAATAACACCATCACGAACTTCGGCATATAACTTTGGAATCAATGATTTGCTGAAGTGCTGTTGTGAGGGAATGCGATACCTCGACTCCAGAGTGTCGAGCAGGTATCGGAAGCCTTCGTTCTCCACGACGCAATAGGGACGTATGTCGGTACATATGAAGAACGCCATTGCCTTGGATATATTCCTAGCCCTCTTAGAGCTGTGTGAAAACTTCTGAGGGAATTTTGTCAGTGGTAATGTAGAGGGCTGTGCTTTTTCTTCGCCTTGGACACCATGGCGTCTTCTCAGGTGAACAAACAAATTGGATGTCTTGCCACAGTAGCAAATTACGCAATGACAAGTTCTGCATATAGCCATATCCTTCATCGGTTTTCTGCCATCCTCACGAAACCTGAAATACTTCCACACAAATGACTTGAACCTGCAAAGGGTGTTTAAGTCATCATCTTTTTCCTTGCCTACCTCTTCTTTCACCTTCGCCATGTCTGTCGTGTGTCGTGTGTGCATGCGGAAAGAGGGTAGTGGCTAAAGGGAGCAACGTAGAAGGGCAAAATAGGTTTAGCGCCACCGCAGCACGGGACTCAGAATTACGCTCAGGAGCAAATGGATAAAAATAGACCAGAGGAAAGAAAAACATGAATCCAAACCATTGCGGTGTCGATGCATCGGATCGTCGGCTGTTGGATTGATGCGTCGATACAAAACAATTAATATTTACACCCCTAGCTGCACCTAGAAATTCTTTCCACATATGTTACGAACAGGACTGGTGACAACAGTGGTAGGACAAGTCCATTAGGTTACCCTCTGTTATCACAGCAGCTTTGAACCATAAGAGTCTTGGGGTCCAGGTGTCCCCACACCCCCTGATGGATAAGTCTTTACATGTGTCTTCAGCATCATAACAGAGAGGCAGAAAGAATCAGATCGTCAAAGATGGGAATCCTCCCTTCAAGTGGAATGTCATATTTAAATGTTCATTTGTTCACGGCACAGGATTGTACAACTGTTGCACCGATACCAGTATCGGGCCGGGCCCCGATCCAGCACTAAAATGGTTGTATCGTTAAGTACCAACAAATAGGGCACCGATACCATTTTGAGAGCCAAAAGTTTATTCAACTATTGTCACCCATTCTAGGTAGGTAATAAAAAGTTCTACTGGATTCACTTTCTATTAGTCTGGTAGACTAATACAAACTACTTGGTAGTATGCAGTTCTTCATTTATACACACACATTAATTTTAAACAGATGGTATCTGTATGGTATTGGTATGGGCCAATACTGCACAGCCAGGTTTGGGGTATCGGGATCAAAAAATGGCAGCGGCGCAACACTAGATTGTACCCTGACTTGTTTCTGCACTCCCCAAACTCGGCAGTTCCCAGTTCCTGAAACTGCTGAATTTCAGCTCCATCGTCTCTATGCAAAGTGTCCAGCTTTAGTCCATTGAAAATATACTCCATAAAAAGGTGCCCAATGTAGCATGGTAAAAGACAAAAAAAAAAAAAAAAAAAAATTTCTAACATCCCCACAACCAGTCAATAGTGTGTTGTACTGTAGATAGTCCACATATCTGGAGCCGTGACTAGATCCAAAAATGTGAAGGAAATATAATAACTTCCTTTTTATGTTAACTCCTAACAGGAGGTAGCCGTGCCAGAGTCCAACATGCACCGGGAACAGGTCCGACTTAATAAAGACCAAACTCCTGTTTTTTTTTTTGTCAGCAGTGAAGTGCTAGCAAGAGTTAGGAAGGAAGAAAAGGCTGTGGGTACATTAAAGCCCAAGGGAAGGGAGCAGATTGTCCCTGCTTGTGATAGAGCTCAGTTGCCACAGCGACTGCAATTTGCAAACTTGGGTCAAAGACTTTGGGGAAATCAGTCAAAAAACACTATTACCTTTTCCTTCATTGGATTTCCTGATCTTTCTGGCTTGTGAATGGACAAATCGATTTCCATTGCCCGCTCTTGCATTCATCCCTGAGTGTCGAATTACAGTTGTCAAACTAAATTGCCAAAAATCAACCTATGACCCAACATGGCCGTATTCCTGTGGGTTTTAGAGCACACAACCAAGAGACTTTTTTTCTTGATTTTGGGAGGTTTACCTACATGGCAAATTTAAAACCTCTGCCCATCTACTTAAAAAATCTAAATGCTATGTTTAGAGATAATACTATGTATACCTTGATTCCAAGATTTAGTTTTAACTAATTTTCTTGCTAAATCTCCTCTAAAACCATCAAACAGGCAATTCAGACACAAAAATTATACTGACTCGACATTTTCTCTTCCAAAACCCTTCTGTGTACCTGAGACACACTTGTGCATAAATATCCCAGTAGATTAGCAGTTCCCATGCCACCTTTAGATTTACCTGAATCCCTCTTTTCCTCTTCCTCAAAGTCACTTTAAGCCTCTGCAACAACGCCTAGATTCCTGCTGTTTTTCAATGCACAAGAACACGAATACAGACTCATGTCCTCGCAGAGTATGTTCTTGAGAAGAACACAGGAAAGTATGTACTCGGGGAGACATGCAGCATAAATATGGATCATTATTGTCAATATTGGAAGAGAAGTGTACTGATGAAATCACCACAGGCTCAGCTCGTCTGGAGCTGCATTTCACCTCCTGTTTTTTTTCTCATGGGGAGAAAAATTAATACAGTCAGATAAACAATAACCAAATTAACATTTTGCCAAATAAAACAAAAGAACTGCCTTCAGGGCTAGCGGTACTTCACACATGGCTTGTCATGGTTTTAAGGTGTTTGGCTCACATGCAGACATAGGAGCAGTTTAAGATGTTTATTTAGGCTACACACGACAATGAATGGTTCAGAATGGGAGCCGCAGGCGAAGTTCGGAACGTCAGTGTTTGGGGCTCTGCGGGAGGAAAGAGGAAACTGATTAAAACTAAGAAAGTTAGGAGAATCTGCGTTGTTGCCGCTTCGCTTACCGCCAGGTACGGAAACCCTATCCGGGGAGGGTGAGTGGAGGAAAGGGTTCTGTAACTCACAACTTTCTGATGGGAGGAGGTGGCTGTGCGGCAGGTGCCACTTAGGCGTGGGCCCTAGCAGCACCGCAGCGCAGGCAGGTTCGAGGAGCAGCTGAAGGAACCAATGTGAATCCAGGAAAGGAGTTCTCTTGTACACGCCAGAACACCAGAGCAAAATATCAGCAGCGATTTAGAGACCAATCTTCAGAGCATGGAGACAGACAGGTGAGCAATCCAGAGCACAACAAACTGAGGGAGACTGGAGACAGGTTAGAACCAGGAATCCAAAACATCAGGTTAACGAGGATCTGTCCACAGGACAGAGGCCTAGGCCTACTACAATGGTTTAACACTCTGGCGTCCTTCAGCTGACTGAAAGCTCCTCTTAAGCTCCAGCAGGGCAGCCCCAACGAGCTGCAGGTGCAGGGCCACGCCCACCTGTCCACAACAACCACCTGTGGTACAGAATCAGCACAGCACACAGAACCCTGACACAGCTATGCAGAGAGAGGGTAACTGCAGACAGGCTAACGTTAGCCCTGACCGCTGTTAGCCTCGGAGGTCCGCTGGTTTCTGCGGTCCTCTCAACTTCAGAAATTGTTTTTTTAAATTAAGTGCTAAATCGGCAAATGGACCATATAGTGACACTTTAAAGTATAATGTTCTCACCTCAAATGATCTTTAAACATACTTTTATAGAACAACGGCAACAGAAATTAATACTTTTAACTTAACACTCTTAGCTCAATTAACCCTCCACTTGAAGCTGCAGCTGCCACAGTGCATAATGGGATAGCTGTCAATCTCAAGAATGGATAAGTCTGCTCTGATGCATGCTGGGTAAAGAGGCAAGAACAACATCCCTGGACTTTGTCCATTCTTGGTCTGCTGTTCTTGTTAATTAGAAGAGTACTAGAGGTAAGACTGATCACAAGTACATGAGAATGCACAAGTACACATATTGAGAAATGGCCAATGTTTCTAATCGAATGGCCGGATGAATATAGCTTAAAATCTGTAAACCTTGACTCATGTAACTATTTACATTCAGTATTTAAATATCAAAGTGTTAGTAGTTGCTTCTGTCTTTATTTGATAGTTATATATTTCATTTATCCCATTGTATCCCTGTCATCAATTATATTAATACACATGAAGACTTTCCGAAAAAGTAAAAAAGACAATCCACAGGACTTTGTTTCCAAGTTTGAAGACAGTTCGCTTCCCATCCAGGAAGCTTTTTCAGTTCAAAATGTCAGAAATAGCCTAAAGTTCAAAGCTTTATGGAGTGGACCAAAAACAGAGCCTTGTTTTGGCTTAGAAAATATGCAAATTAAACTGGAAGAACGGGTCCACCCATTAGGAATGGGGAGTCATTTGGGTTCTTAGTTAGCCTGCAATACCCAATACTGGTCTATGCCTCTGAAAGGGGGGTCGTTAGGGTAAATTGTTGGCCTGGCTGACCATGCAAGATGTTTTAGACCCCTGCATGGAGGCACAAAGACATGAAGACGTCACATGTCTTCGTGCTGTTTCTAAATCGAAATGGGGTTTAATTTTTTTTGTTTGTTTATATTTCACACAGAAACCCAACGTGTTAGGGAACTTGGTTGTTTGGGAAGTTTTTGGATAGAATAAGAGAAATTCAGAGTGAAATTGAGCTGAAGAACGCTGCCATCTATCTTCAGTCCATGGTAAATAACTCTACTCTGACTGGGTGTATTTATATCTTCCCCCTCAAAAAAAATTTAAACCCTCTCTGCTTCCAGGTCAGCATATACCGTGCAAGCCGAATGGAGACGGTTGTTTCAACTGCAGCAACCGAGGCGACACCTGTTGATCCGGACTTTCATTCTCATGTGGATGTCACAACGAACGGCTCAGCTTCTGACACTCTGCCCAAAACCTCCCATGTTTCCACAAACCGGGACAACGCGTGGAGATGTTCCAATTTGTCACAGGAGAAAGCCGGTACTTAGAGACCAGTGTAAAATACATGGCTGTAATATGTTCATCCCTGATTAATGACCTGAAACAATATGGCTGTGTATGAGACCTGAGAGATATTGTATACACGCATCTGCTGTGTCATTCATCATTAATCAACTCCACAGCTTAGCGTCTTTATCCCTTTTGTTCGTGAGCCGAGAGGGACCCTTATTATTTGCTTGGCAACTGTATAAAGTCAACTTGTTTAAAGACGGGGTTGGTGTATTGCCTACAGACTGCCCACGGGTACAGAGCCAGCACCTGTTGGACAAGATTAGCCCCTTGTTTTGACAATGTGTGGAACAGGGTTCAGTTTGCAGCAGCCAGGTCACAGGCTCAGCTAAATATAGAGGTTCACAGATGGGAAAAGGGACATAGCATGACAGAGACTTTGGTGAAACAATGAATGTAAAGGGGAGAAGTTGCATCTGTTAGGACCAGGGTTATTAAAGTTTAATGCTACAGACATAGAAGGAAATGTCAGCGTTACAGGTTAACAGATGCAAATGTTTGTATTTTGTGTTTGTATCCAGCCTTTTGATTGACTGCTGATCTATTTAGAGTCTATCCAATCTCTTGCCAAGGATATTTTAAATTGGCCCAGTGGCAGAGCATGTGAACGGAGCGGAGCGTGGAGTGAGCGATGGTGCGGAGCGGAACGAAATATGGTGGAGCGCAGAGCCATTTTCAATTCACATGCCGGAGCAAGGATTTCACTCTGCTACAGTTCGCTCCGATGAGCTCACGTCAATTAAAAATATTGGATTATATCATTTGCAAAATAACATTTAGTTGATTTAAGTGTGACTTTTTTCAACATGTTTTTTGAATTGTTAAACACTTGCAGGCCAACCGTTTTTAATCCTTAAAAAATGTGTGTTGCACAAGCCGTGCAATTGTGTGATAAAAACTGGGAAAAAATATCATAAAAACATACTCTAATTATACTTAACAATACAGAGTGAGTTTACATAAAGTGATTGTTGTGGTAAGAGCCTGTTTTTGAAAATGGATCACATACATGCATTATACGCTATTATCTCATTTCCAATGTGATGCAAAGTGACCCTTTTTAATGTAATCTAGTAAAATAAATTAAAAATTAAATAGGAAACGCGGGGCAACATGAATGGAGCGAGGTGTTACGTTCACAGCTGGGATAACAGTGCGATCATTTAATAGCAAGTTAAATAAGACAATACACATGTATTGGTCACATCATTAATCCCAGGAGCCCTGGCATAATTACATAAAGGAAAAATGTCAGACATTGACGTCTCTTTAAAATTTGAGGGAGTGGGGAGCGATTTCGCCGGAGCGGCGAGAAAGGTTAAGGTGAGCGTGGAGTGGATTTTGAGCGGAGCGCCCTGCAGCAAATTTGAGCAGTGAGCGAATGAGCGAACATTGTCCTGAGCAGGGACCAGGAATTGCGAGGTGCTCCCTCCGTTCACATGCTCTGTCCAGTGCAGTCTTAAACGGTGCAATCACTGCACTTATATCCTTAAAATTTCACAATCAGATTAAAATGGGTTCAGATTGAAAGGCAAATATAATTTGACCTAGTTTTCACAATACGACAGTGGCGGCTGCTGCCCTCTGGAACAGTGGAGGCTCAAAGGTGTTAATTTAATCCAAACCTCACTTATGGCATTAAAGGAATAGTACACCCAAAACATGATTAGCCTTCATTTTCTACTCACCCCCATGCTGAACAACACTCTGGAGTACTTTTTTGATATCTCAAATGCATCTGGAGATCTGGGAGGCTTCTTGCTGTCTGCTGACATTCAAATAATGGAGGTCAATGGCGCCCGAGGCAGAAAGGTCCATAAAAGTCCACAAAAAACGTGTCAATATTCCTCCATACTGCTCGTCCAATGTATTCCAAGTGTCCTGAGTGGGTAGCATCCAGAATTTACTCGAAACGAAGTCATTTAGAATGTTTTTAGAGCATAAACAGTAGTGTATAGGATTTCCTGAAAGCGCGCACATGAGCGATCACGACGCTACGGAAGCCGGAAGCCGAATCATGTTTTGGGTGTACTATTCCTTTAACAAAGACATAAAACACATGCTGCCATGAAACGCTCTGGAATAATAAGGTTCAGAGACCAAGAAAAGAGTTCATGGATTCCTCATAGAGAGGCTGATAAGCAGAGTCCTGCTGCTCCACAGCAGAGAGATCACTTCTGAGAGCCGAATAAACAGCTTATTAATCAGGTGAATTTTAGCACATATTTAATGCAGTTTAATGACTACATTTATGAAGTTTGCCAATGCATAATTTACCAATAGTTTATGGAATTTACAGAGGAGGTTTAGCTTCCCTAGTATTGGATGAGAAATACGAGCCAACATTAGATGCAGAGACCGCTGTTGAATGCTTAACTTGATCAAACTCCGTCATTCCGGACCGGTTAGCTGCCTGAGTGACATTCTGAATTTAAATTGGTAATGCAGCCTGGGGATTCCCAACTTTGGAGTTACTGCACTGAACCTAAAACCTTCCATTCAGACCAAGGCTCCCAGCATCCCTTTAACTGGCTATTTAACTTAGAATTAATGGCCGGTCCTAATGGCTGGTCCTACAGGGACCAGAGCCGACGTAGAACTGGTCCTGGCTCCTGTTATGGCCCCTGTAATGAAGAATAAAGATATAATGTTAACTAAATCACACAGAAACTATAAATGATTGCTCTTTTGGATCTATTTCTTTTTTTTTTTTTTGGATAGTTTTATTGAAAAAGTTTATGGTAAAAATAAATTACAGTTTTTAGATGTGCACTGATAATCATTTTCTGGCTGAAAAAGAATCTGTGTCTCACTTAAAGGAGAACACCATTTTTTTTTTCATTAGCCCCTTGATTCTACGTTATTACATCATGTTCTACTCACCCATATTAGTTTTGTGTCATTTGGAACTGTTCTGAATATCCAAGCAGCATCTTCCATTGGGCAACGACTTGAAGACACAAACTAAACTGTTAATAATTTATTATTTATAGTACGCCAGCATTCATAACATGTAGGCGAATCACTGTCCCCCAGACATCCGCGGTTATATCTTGTATATCTATATTTTTAAAACAAAGCAGAGTGTGTATGAAGTCATCCGCACACCAGACTGCAGTTGTGACAGGCAGCCTGGGCCACAGGCGGCTACGCTCTACCCCTTCTATTCATTCTAGCTAATCTGAATCGTTCAATTCCATTTGGAGAGCGAGATCATCTGTGGTAGTAGCTCTAGACATCTTCCAGGCATGTGAGCAAAACTAGCAGTTGTTCGAGGACAGGATGAATGAATTGTAGCCTGCGCGCACGGATGACGTCCAATAGTTGCGTATCGGAGGCCTTTTAAGATTAACTTAGGATGCCGTTTGGCTTTCGTAGAGGTGTTTTTTAAAGCTGATTGGCTGTTGATGCAGCTTGATGTATAGAGCAATGAGTTTCTTCAGTTGAACTTCCGCCTAGCCTCCATATATCAAACAATGAAAAAACCCTGATTTTATGTTTAAGAACCAAATTTTACAGTTTCAAATGTAGTCAAATTAGCTAGACCTAGCTACTTTAGGCAGGTCTGGTAAAACAATGGACCTAACAGTGAGCAGGAACTCATTTTAAAGTCCGGTCAGAAAGGAATAACCAATGGATCATTATTTATACCTAAAACTAACACATTGGAGGTGATTTAATTAATTTAGCATTAATCAGTAAAATAATAAAAACAATAATT